TCCTAAAGCCCCAAAAACTAGATCGTAATTCCTAAAGCCCCAAAAAGTAGATCTAAATTCTCAAAGCCTTGAGACATGTTCCCCCCACATCATGCTAAGCCAGCATGCCCTTGCCCTCCCGCGCACTTTTTGCTCCACTGACGCAGCTAAGGGTTTAAGGGTTTAGGGTTCAGGGTTTAGAGGGTAAGGGTTTAGGGGAGCCGTTGGCCAAGGATGGGTTTTGAGGGCTCTACAGGGGCAAAATACATATCAGTGTATCTCCGTGTGAGATCTGTGTTAGGCTGGTCTGGCGTAGTAGGGAATGGAGGCAGGGTTCACAGGGGCTATTGGGGGATTATTACATCGGCACTACCGTAATTCATGATGCGCTCCAGCCCCTTGGTGTTTAGGGTTTAGGGTCATTCCCTACTACATAAGCCTAAGCACCACCACCCCTAAAGCCTCAACAAATACTGATAGAAATAGCTTCCATTTTGTTTTCCATTCCCTACTCAGCGCCACCAGGTAGAATATCCACTTGAGTCGTGTTTTTCTTTGGGATACCATGTTCTCCTGTTGGGCATATTTTCCTGTAGGAAGAATATTATGTTCAACCACGAAAAAAAGCACCACACCAATAAGAACTGCTTAGAAGAATACGGATTTTCGCGCTGGGGTTGCCCCTGGTATCCATGCGACCTTATGTTACACGCGGTTTAAGGGTTTAGGGTTCAATGTTCCAGCCCCAATCTTCCGTAAGCACAGAGCCATGATCCCTCAACTGCACGCCCTCCCTGAATTTCAACAGCATGTAGAATAATGCCTTTTAAAGGCCTTTGTAGGCCAGGTTTTGCTCCCTGTTGGGCTTCAGGTAGTCTCAACCGCATTGTAACCCACAAGCGCTAAAGCTTTCACTCCGAATCTGCACTCCTGTGTCGTAGACCAGCAGCCTGTGCATCCCAATTCCAGCTTAGACCCTCCAGTCAAGTATCTTATTCGGATCCTGTTTCCATTTAGTACCATTCAAAAGCACGTACCAAATCTCTCAAACCCTGAAACCCATGTAGGCAAAGGCAAGGGCAAGCGCAAAGATGGGGACCGCCGGGAGAGAGACCGAGGCGGCACGGGTGAACACAAAATTTCCCTCAAAGTAACATTTGCCGACTTTCTACTTCTTCTGATATTGGAACGTAGTAAGAGTGGTGCCATGTACCGCCGCTCAGAATATGGAACCTGAAAGGGGCCTCTTGTAAACTTTTGTGCTCTTGCACGGAGGCCATAATATGCATGTACTTCAGGGGTTCCATGTTATTTCGGGGAAGGGGGTATTCCGTTTGTGTCTTTTTTTGTTTAAGAGTCTCCATGCTGGAGCATGCTTGTGGGGACGATGCTGGCACCTTTTTGTGGGCCGGTTTTTCGTACTTGACCGGTTCAATTGTAGCGGCCGACGGGGGGCCTAATCAATCCCAGACCCCGTCCATGAATTCTTGAAGAGAGAGGCATCCACGCAAGGTAGCTTCCTAACTGTCCTTGGCATGCCTGAACGCCTGGGGAGTGGCAAGTCCATTTGCAAGGTTGCCAAGTCTTCATTTCCGACTTTTGAGGCTTTGGCCCTCTTAGCACCATGGGCCCCCAAAAGTAGGTTCGATTAATAGTCCAAAGCCCCGAGAAACAGCCTAGAAGGACATTAGTACAGCTGAACCCTACACCCTGGTACCCCCCGAGCCACCAGGATGTAGGGTTTAGGGTTGCTATCCTACACCCCAAGTTGCGGCTTCAGTGTGGCTACTGATGCAGGTTATGCACTGTAAGGCAAGCCCCATGCATTTCGTAAATTTCCATACATATGGTAGACCGAAGGATAGTTCAGGTAGGTAGGTCTCCCACGCAAGCCTTTTGCAATTCTGGATCACGGGTACCCAGCTGGTAACTGCCCGCCTAAAAATCCCTCAAGTAGAAGCATCAATATTTACCAGTACTATTCAAATTATTCCCTTCCTTGTTATAGCCCCCATTTCTCCGTATTCAAATTGATTTGGCTTTATAAAATGAAGCCTAGACATGCAGCAATTTGCCTCAATACCTGGCTTACACTCAATGCTTGACTACTTTTATGTGGGCACCTTGACTTCAGCTTCTTTTGTTCCTTTTAATCTTGGATCCAACTAGTGTGGAGCTTCTCAATTGTGCAAAGTTAGGGGCAAATAATTCTGTACCCCCTCACTTCGCTATGGGAAAGCCGAATTTCTGCGACGTCCGGTGGCCGAAAATGTGTCCTTAACCTGAGCGCACCTTGGTCTTGGGTCTGGGTTCAGGTTTAGGAATTTCATTTAGAGCTATGAGGTTGTTCTGGGGGTCCCGCCCCCGCCCCTCTAAAACGGGGACTGAATTGTCTTGTTGGAGCTTGCGGCACTACACGGGATCCAACAAGATCTAGAATAGAGAGGCTAATAGAGCAAACGCTCTACGCCCTTTTCTGAACCCCTATATTCTTTTAGAACTTGAGCTTCGTGGGTTTCTTACTGCATATACTAGCGAGGCTAAACGGAGGGGTCCAAGAGTCAGCGAATAATCCGGAAGCCTAAACCCTACACCCTAAACCCTTAAGCCTACACCCTAGACCTTACACCCTCTACCCTAAACCTTAAACCCTCGACCCCAAACCCCAAAGCCTAAAGCCGCAGAACGCCAGGTGCCAGGCAGCCGCCTCGGACTTCGTCAAGCAGTGCTTTTCTTTGCGGGTATCTTCATGGTGGACCCCCACCCTGTAATAGTGACTCTAAGGGGTCATGGTGATTATATGAGGGTCCTCTTATATGCCTATCATACCGCTATCACAGAGTGGGGGGTCCACCTAAGGCATTTACGCGGTTTTGCTCCCTAAAACCTTGGGTCAGCTTGCACTAGCTGTCCTTAAAAGGATCTTATTGAGGCGGTATTATAGCCGTCAGTATTTCTTGTGGGAATTGTTACTGTAAAGGGGAAAGACATAACCTTAACCCAAATTTATGCCATGGATTACATAGCCACCCGTCTCCGTATACTAGACCCCGCTCCAAGGTTCCGCGTTAATTAGGCTTATCTGGCTAAAGCAAGGCTAACTCAGGGAAACATGGAAAGAGTAGTATAAGGGGCATGGTTAGGAGAACGCATAATGGTGTAAGGTTTTCTCCTTGGGACTTAGCTTGGACCTTAGACCCTTAACCCTTTGAGATTCCCTTACATTCCTATTATAGGTACCTAAGGATTAACCCTCAGTATGGGTCCTAAGTGCCACGTAGTTTTGTGAAGGAATGAAATCCTACACCACCTCCAGAGGATGAAATAAGTAACTCTTGCACCACTTGAGTAGTATTCTTGGGGATGCTATGGTACCCAATCTAGGGTAAGATTATATCCTCCTTTTGGGTATGGTATTTTATATAAGGAATATAATCTTACTAGGTTCAAGCACAAAAAAACACTACCCACTTAGGATCTCCATCATTCTGCTGTAACGTCTATCAGGTAGGTATGGTGCCGCACAAATTCCTACATGCACCAAAGCATCCCTCAACTATTGTAATTCAAAGGATTTAGTTTAGGTGGAGCAGGATTTCTTTCATCATCATGTAGGATCAGCGTTGGGCAACTTTCAGGGCTTCGGTTCAGGGATCAAGTTTAGGGCTTAGCTTGGTTGAGAAGCGTGTTGTTGGCTACAGATGTTATCTCGCCCCCGCAATTGTTCTGAGAGGTGTATACTACTCTTATTTGTCTTATTTGGCTCAACCACCAGAAAACACTGCATAGGGAAGCTGACGCAGGTCAAGAGAAACGTCTTTCTGTTTGTGATTCTTGCATATTAGACAGGCTAGATCACCTGATGTGGCACAACCCTGCAGTCATTGCTCAAGTAAGCCCAAGCAGAAGTTCAACGCATTGCTATTCTCCATCGGCTTTGAGCATCAGTTTCATCATGATGCTCAGTTGAGACACTTTCGGTTGCAGGGAACTTGTTGATATGCGTTAGCGGTACCGATTCGATGTGAGCGTCATCCTGTATAGGCTTGCCAGGTCCAGAGCTCCACAACCAACTTAATAGAAACAGCCAAGGAGACGTGGAGCAAGCAGAAGGGTTTTCACCAACATACCTAGGCTATAGGGGCCTCCAATTCTTTAAAAAGATAAAACTGTTTGGTTACCACAATCCCAATAACAACCAATAACTATAATTTTTAGTGAGGTTCTGAGGCCGGTTTAGCAGGCCCCGCTACTTAGCATGCTTTAGGGACTGTGGCCGAGGTAGCGTGCACTGGCGAAGTCTGCTGCAGCGCTGACAGCTTCAGGAAAAAGCAGACGAAAAGCGTAGAGCAGATGCGTAGGGTTTTCAAATGGGCGTACTTTAGTCTCCACTCTATAGAGTAACATCATAGCTTTCTTTTTGCGTTTAGCATTTTTCAAAAGGGATAGAGTCTCACTTGGTTCAACCACAAAAGGCGCTATTCAGCTGGACCCTGAGAAAGAGATCTGGCCCAACTGGTGTTGGGGTTTCAAAATGCGTCGAGTGGGCGGGGGCATGGTAGCACTTGGAGCACCTAAGTTACTTTGATGTCGGAACTTGCGAGACTTAGGGTGGTGCACGGTTTCCTCCATGACCAGTATGCATGTTATGGTCAAAGTCGCTCAGTGTATTTGGGTACAGGAAGATTGGACATCTCGCGTGTTTATACCGCCATTTTTGGTGCACATTGTCAGAGTTCTGTGAGAAGATTTCACAGTTCACGCTATGAAGAAATGATTCCACAGCAAAAACCAGGTCTGTTGAGGCCAATTCAATTCCTTCCCCGTCTTTGTCTGCAAAGTCGCTTCGCGTTTTCACTCGGATGGCATGTGTGTCCAGAGGCAGGTCTAGTAGCCTTGTGACAATGGACTTGGTGATCACTTCACATGCACTTCAGGCTCGAGTAGATCTGCCCCTGCCAACTCGCGCTCCGGAGAAGTGGAAGCACCATACCCCACGGTGACGAGAGTTCGAGAAGAAGATGCCATCGCAACGCATGCTCCAGTCTAAGCAGAAGATCACGCAAGCCCTGCAAACACTTTCAGATCAAGTGGAAGTCGTCGCGGAGCGGGCCAAAATCACCCTGTGGGCAGTAACCTTGCTGGGGAAGTTGATCTATGTTGCGCAAGCAGAAGGGGATGAGTTCGTTATGCTTCGTGCCTCTTTCGCCAATCCATCAGAGTTCACGACGGCCCAAGCTCTCGTGTTTGCAAATGCATGGAACCGGAAGATGCCCTTCTTCAGGGCATCCGTTGTGGACGACTCGAAGCTGTGTCTGGAATTCCACCTGATGATCAACTGGATACCGCAGACAGGCGGGCTCGAGAAAGTCATCGGCATGTTCACAGCTGCATTGCTTATGTTCGCGAAGGAGATGCACAAGGCAACCCGGCAAAGTGATGACTCTCAGCTCAGGAGCTTACTATAGATGGGTGCGGTGCGACTGACGCAGTAGCCTTCAGTTGACCTCATGGCTTCTTAAATCCCAGCAAGAGCCTTGCTTTGCTTGTTTTTTGAGCCCATGGTCCCAGGATGGTATCTAGGGACACGGGCAAACAGTGATCGTGAGAACATCGTGCCAACGTCAAAACTTTAGGGCTTACGAGCTGCAGGCTGGATGGATGATAAGGCACAAAGTTGTCGGACAAAGGACTTCATAGTACTATGGAGGGGTTCTGTCAGAAAGGGGGGGGGGCCTTAGGGACCCTAGTGATACACAGGATCATAAGGGGATTATGTCAGCCCCTAATTACTTGGTGATGAGATAGGTCTTCTGTTGAGAAACTCCCATATGAAACAACCAACCCCCCCACCCCTAATGTTGAATGTGTCCCCCAATATGTCAGGTCCCTTCTGCGGAATATCAGGACATTTAGGGGTAGGGAGTGTCTAGGATTCATATGAAGGGCCAAACAGTCCCTAACCCCAAACCCTAAAACCTAAACCCTAAACCCTATGAAGGCCCTAAGGGCTCTTGAGGAGGAACTCTGGGGACCGCCCCCCTTGCACTAGCAGTCCCCCCACGGGGTGGTGGGAGTCCAACAGCTCATTACTAAAGCCTAGGTTCTCCAACAGCAGAGGGGTTAGGGTTTAGGTTAGGGTGTAGACCTTTTTAGGACAGTTACTGGGATGGGGATGACTCACGGTATGCGTTTTTTTTCTCTTCTCTCTCCCCCGCCCTCTCTCTCTCTCTCTCTCTCTCTCTCTCTCTTGACATGAGTTCCATTGCAGTGCCTAGGCATTAACTTCATACCAAAAGATCTCCAGAATTCTGCAAACGCGCTCTCGGAAGCCTTGAACCTTGTGGATTGTTAGCTTTGGTCTGCGTGCAGCTTTCTTTTATCCGTAAAGTCCGGGCATCAGATGCACCTTCAACCCTAAACGCCGACCCTGAACCCTAACACCCCAAACCTCAAACCCCAAATCCTATCAAGCCCCTACCGCACCACCTTCTTGGCTCAGCACACGTGGTTAATGGAGGAAACGTTCCATCACCTTCTGAATCCTAGGATGCAAGATTACATCCTTCAACGGCACATACCCCTACAGGTACAGGCCCCACAGTATGTAAGCACTGCAAACCGAAACAGATATTTTGAGCCATGTTGCCAGCATTGCCTTTGAAATGAGCTTTTTGTGCATGTTTTTGAGTTCACGGCTGATTCGGGGTTGTTAACCCTCCTACCTCGACGCCGCTGAGCTCTAGACTCTGTCACCATAAACTTAATTTAGGGCACCCCCTTAAGTCCACCCGGAACGTTGAAGTGCACAGAGAACTCAGTAAGGGTTTTACTTGCCCAACGTCTGCCCAATGTCAGTACTTGTCAAGGGAGTAGAACGGCAACCCCAAAACACAAAACATTGAACCCCAAGGATATAGTCGGCATATAAGAATAGAATAGGAACATACCTACCAGGGTAAGGGGATGATGTGAGGTTCCATGTCCGTTCTAGGGGACGGTGTCCTACCTGTCCATCAATCATCTTGAACCTTGTCCAGCAACGTAAAACCCACTGTGAACAAAAAGGTTGACCTTTGAAAAGTTCGATGTACTGGACACCTAGGGGGATCATCTGACTATCCTAAACCCCAACCCTTCAACCCTAAGCCCTGAACCCCAAATCCTACACTCTAATACTTCTAGCCTCCAACCTGTCGACTCGAACGCGTCTTTGGCTCGAAGCGTGAGCTGCGAAGCTTCCGAAGCCATCTGCTCCACGCCTGCGATTGAGCCAGAGTCTACACTCTGTAAGGGGGGTTGCATAGGGTTTAGGATTTAGGGTCCGGACTCCTTAAAGGGGGTTATATAGGGTTTACGGTTTGGGGTCTCAACTCCTGAAATGGGGGCATCTGGGGGATTACATAGGGTACTACCGTAGTTGCGGGTTCACTTGGAGTGTAGGGGTTAGGGGAATACGGTTTCGCGCTTCGGGCTTGAAGTAAGAGTGTAGTTAGTGGCTATCGGAATAGGGTTTAGAGCTTCGGGTCTGGGGTATGGGGCTTAGGGTCGTTGGAGGTTTAGCTGTAGGTATAGCCATGATGTAAGCCCCCGAAGTAGGTTGGGCTAAAGTTACAACTACCCTGAGCCTCCGAATAGGTATGGTGTCCCGGCTCTCAGCTTTTGAATGTTGCATGGTTTAGGGACTGGTGTGAAGGGTGCATTGTTTTGGTGCTCCCATCAAGTCGACAGAAGTTTGAACGAAGGACTCCCCATCCCTTGCAGGGGCAGATGTGCATAAGTAGATGCGGTAAGTCGTAAGATTCTTACAAATTCTGAGGGCAGGGTTTGGACACTTCAGATGGTAGTCTACAGCCCTAAAACCCTAAACCCGCCATGTGGGAGTAGCAGGGTACAGTCCTAGTACACATCAGTGTGGCCCTGTCTTCAGCAACTTTCGGAGAGTCCCTAACAAGCCAGACGCTTGAGGCTTGGGGTTCTGTAAGATTGTTGATTGGGTAGCTTCCGAAAATAGGGGATCCCAATACAGACACCGCAATAATACAATCCTTATTATAGGGACCCCTAAGAAAGGTACTCGTAATTTTTGGAGACCACCATTGCTGTCTTGGGGGGTTCAGAGGTCGGAGGGTTCTTGTCTGGCATTGTAATAGGTGTTGAGTTGTCTTCCCGATGGCGTAAGCTTTTCAGGCCCCCAAAAGGCTGCTCTGCAGCATAGCAGCTTCAGTGCATCGCTCTGTAGCTGGGCGGTATAGCAACGAGCTTCGTAGAAGTGCGTGTTCTAAGAGAAAAAAATCATGCACATTGGATGGAGGAAATCTTGCACCACTTAGGACCCTGAAAGTATTGTGATGAGGTAGATATATGGAATACAGGAATACACCTGTGAGGGAGGTGCAAGCTATCCTTCATCCAACCCTAAACCCTGAACCCTGAGCCCTAAACGCTGAACCCTGAACCCTAAACCCATCCACAGTACCTGGACCCCGAAAGTATGTGGAATAATGGCCTTTTGTGCTGTTATTTAAGGTTTTGGGCCATTATTCTACCTACTTTGGGGGTTTAGGTACAAGTAGCCATCCCTTCTTCACGATGACCTTCAGGCGAACCTCACCTGGAAACCTCAGACTGCAAGCCACGGTACATTCGCAGCAGATTCCTGGGACAGCTTCTGTTTCCATCTAGGTGACTCCTATTCTATGGAGAGCCTGCAGGGTAGTTTCTTGGGATTCGTATGGTTTTGGGGTAGGATTAGAGCCTATACCCTTAAGCCACAAATGCTTAACCCTTGAATCCTAAACTCTATAAACCCTTAAGCTTAAACCCTAAGCCCTCCAACCCCCCGAAACGCTAGTACATGGGTTGGAGGGTCCAGGCAAACTCCTCAGCGCTTGCCCCCAAACCCAAGCCCTTAGGCCTATACCTTAGACTTACGGGTGCTCAACGGGGAGTGGGAGAGTGAATATAGGTGCCTTTCTCGGGGTACGTACGGGAATTATCGAGGGGTTGACTGTAGGGATCCACTTCCCCACTCTCCCTCAAGCACCAGTAAGTAGACCTAAATGCCTAAGCCCTGAGGCCTAAACTCTATACCCTAAACCCCAAACCCTAAATGCCTAAGCCCTGAGGACTAAAGCTTAAACCCGCAGCACAAGATCAAGAACTGTAAGCTTGAAAGCTTAAGCCCTGAATGACCGTATACTATATAAAGCCTAGACGCTAAGAACCAAACCCTAACCCCTAAACCCTTAAAACCCTAAACCCTAAACCCCAAAAACCCTGAACCCCAAACCCTTAACGCCTAAAGCCCTAAAGCCCTAAGCCCTAAACCCTAAGAACCAAACCCCAACGCAGCCCTCTGAGGCTTTGTCCTACTCCTTGAGCCTCTGTGCCCACTGTGATTCGGCGAACATGGAACAGCCCATGGCTCTGCATTTAGGGTTGAAGGGTTTAGGGTTTAGGGTGAAAAAGTTTTAGATGGGCGGAAGTAGGAGTGTTGGCCAAGAAGTGTTTGGAGATTAGGGTTTAGGGCTGGGGTTTACGGTTTAGGGAATAGGGTTTTGGGAGTAGGGTTTGGGGTAGAAGGTTTAGGGAAACTACAAGGAGTCTTAAACGGTTCTTTAGGGTCCAGGTTTTACTTTACAACTCTGCATGCGACAGTTGAGCAAATCATAACGCCGAGTGATATAGGGCTCTTTAGGGATATCTGGGTGTGTGTGTATATATATATAGATAGAATGGTATGTACGGTTTAGGGCTTGGGGCACATTACTTGACGTTGTATGACAGAAAGTCCCGAAATGGCTTGTTTCAGGCATCGGAAATAGAGCGGTTGTGACAGTTCAGCCGGTACGAACCTTCATGAAAAAGGCAACATCCGGGGATCGTCGGAGGGATTGCTCGGGTTCTTTAGGGTTCCGCGTTTAGGCGGCAGGGCAAGCATTGCACGCCTAAAAGATTCGGGCTTGCTTGGTGGTTGCAAGAGAAGTGCTGTTGGGGTAACCAGAATTCTTTCATTATTAGGTGGACCAGGGGGCATAACCCCAAACCAGAAACAGGGAACTTGGGGAGGCAGCTGCTCTCTTCCTGATTATAGGGGACCCTCCGAAATTTGGCACCTCTGTTTCGAAGCTACTGCCGAATTCTTTTCTGGGTTTTCAGGAAAGGAAACCCCATTATTTACTATATACCTTAGGTGGACCCCCCACCCAGTAATAGTGACTATAAGGGATAATGATGGTAATTATAGTAGGGTCCTCTTATAGTCCTATTATACCCCTATTACAGGGTGGGGGGTCCTCCTAATAGATACCTTTATTATGGTAACATGATTAGAGCTCCTCAACAGCTATCCAGGAATTCCTTAACCCTTAAACCAACCCGAGCATGGAGATGTCGAAGCTGACTCGTACGGCCTTCAGCCCAGCACACGGCATGGTGGCTGAATAATTTGCAATCCATGTATCTG